CGCGACGGCACACGCCTTCACGCGCTCTCTTTGTCTCACTCTATGACATCATAAATCTCTCGACTCTTCTCTTGCCTCGCTGCAACATCTCTTATAACCCTCCTCTAAATCTACACGCGCCACATGATATCTACTAGACAGTGAAATCCGACCCAGTGGATCAGTATTGTGTCAATAATTCTGAACGGAGGATCAACATATCGGCAGAAACAATTTCGCGCGAATGGAATGTCCCGTGGGATCCGCCTTCGCGAATCACACCGCGTAAGCCTGCAATTTGTTGCAAAGATCGAGAGACTAATTTTATATCGCCGTATACGTGAGACGTAGCTCTCGATTATACGAGGGGATTGATGAATTTGCGAACGTAAGAGGAAGTATCAAGTACCTCAGTCATTATATTCTGGACCTTATAACACTAGATATTTAATTAAATATTTACCATGACAGTATACGTGCAATATTTATGGATTTTGTTATTATATATATATGTTCTGTACAATTTATATGTATTTAAATGATGTACATACGAATAATATAAGCGCACTCAACATTTTTATATTTTTTTTAGGAAAAAAGTAGCAATTTATACTTTTATATTCTATACATTTCTTGTTGTATCTTCTCTTGCGTATATTTATAATACAGACGTTTTAAATCTTTCGCAAGCGATGTAAATGCAAAGCAGATTACACGCTGGTCATTTCCGCGTAATTTCCCGACTTAGAATAAAAGACCGTCTCTCGGATTCCCCGTTTTCCCGCGAAAGAGGTGCCTGCGGTCGATTCCTCGAAAGTATCCAGAGAAAAACTCTTCTCCGAAAGCTCATGTTAAAATGTACAGTAACATTCTGTGAATGGGGATTAAACAATGAAGTGAATTAAAAGTAAGGATTCTCGCTCCCGGGAGAGGAGACGCGCCAATTGGAAATTGCGGGGAGATCAGGAAAGTTAATAGGCTGAGAGACCAGAGACCGAAATGAGTCCCCGAGTACGAGTTTGTACCTAGTCTAGAATGCGCGAATCGCTCTCCGATTCCATTCGCTCTCCGTCCGTTACTATACGCTTCCAGGGACGACGTGACTACTGGCTGCCCTATAAATGCCACGACGGAACATGGACGCACTCGGATCTTGCATCATTGTTACAAACCATTCTTGCCGAGCTCATGATATATATATATATATATATATATATAGAGAGAGAGAGAGAGAGAGAGAGACTCCCAAGTAAATATTAGTTGAAATTTACTGAAATTTAATCGACTCTATTTCTGCTCAGAAATAGAAATGGAGGAAGGCAGGAAGTCAGTTAAATAACCTTATAAATTTTAGTTAATTGGTCAATTAGCAGTAGCACGATATATTAGTTCTTTACCGATAATTACTTTGTCCTTATAAATATCAATCAAAGTTAACGCAAGTTGTTTTCTTTTATGTCTTCTAAAAACAAGATTTAAAAGAAGAGGTCATAAGAATTGGTTGAAACTAATTGTCTTTTCCTAATTGAATTTATAAAAAAGAGGAAATTAATCGGATAAATTCAATGTTGACAGATATTCATTGTTTATAGATTTATGAAAGTATTAATTAAACACGCTTTTCGATTGATATCGACGAATGTGTTTATGAGAATATGTATATGTATAGAGTTGCAGACTCACCGACACGTTGAGCTTTCTCGGCAGCGTGAAGCTAGCCCGCGGCAACATCACGAGTGAAAACCGAAAATTTATGAATGAACAGTAATACAGCTGGCCCGGTCGATAGAGCGGCACCCCGCATGCCCTCGCGCCGACCCACCCTCGGCGTAGTAATCAATATAGAAGAGGGGGTTAGGGCGACGAGGGGTATGGCGGGCGCGCCAAGTCCATTCAGTAGAAACGGCAGGTCTTGCTATTGATTGCGTGGGCAGCTAAAAGCGACTCCCCCACTTTCGGCCATTCAGCGGACCGCAGCAGCCTGTGGGGATGGCAGGGGTAACCTGCCAGGGGTGAGGCTCCTGAAGTGGTGGATGATGTGTGCATGGTCTATATGTTTGCATTTGTATGTATGGTATGTCTGTGTGCGCCGCGGGCGCGCATGTATATACGGGAAAGTGAGTGGAAGTGGCGTAGGTGGAAAACGAGGAAGGGGAAACAGCATTTTCTATGAGAGTCAGGGCTGGCCGTAATTTTCGGGCGCTATAATTTTCCAGGCCGCGTTTAGAAGGCTACAAATAGATGCGCGCAAATACCTTTAGTAGCAAAAAAGCAGAAATTTTGCTGACTTTATTAATAGTTATTTGTGTAACAAGTGCTGTAAGATGAAAGCTCGTGCGTCAACTCCGCACCCGGGAATTTTCATCTTTACGCACGGCTTGCACACCCTATTTTATGTTGCAAGTGCCTGGAAAGTGGTCTATCACGCACGCGTAGCGTGCGTAATGGGCCACTTTCCATGCACGTGTTGCATAATAAGTCTTTAAGATGGCTGATCTTTCTTTAGTCTGAGATAAAATTTGAGGCAAATGTTCTGTATCTCAACATGGTTTCCACAAAGAATTTACTTAAGGCTCCTGGGTAGTCACCGCGGCCATATTGGATTCTTACTATCGAGGCGAGGAAAACACCCAATTTTGTTGTGCATGCCATTTTCAAATAAAAAGACATTTCAATAAAACATTACTATAGATCGTTTCAGAACACTTCCGAAATTGGCCGAAAACTACCCTTTTCCCTCGACAATAAACAAACAGCCATAAAACGAAGCCTAAACATACGGGAAAAACAGCCATTTAACGACTATCGAAAGAAGGTGAAAACGTTCCTTCCGCATGCAAATCTTACTTTTCGGCCAATTTTACGACTTTCACGAATACGTTAAACGTTAAAGCACAAGCACAGAGCGAATAATAAAGAAATAGCACGCACAACAAAATAGGTTGTCAACATGTCACAAGACAGAATTCTCCATTGGAGAGAGTGAGAGGAGAGAGTTCTGATTTCTGCCGCGACGCGTCGTCGCCACCGTCAACGCAGAGTTCTCGGCTCAGGGACCAGGAGCCTTAATTATTACGGAATAATATTGGTTATTTCATTATCTTGAAGAAATTTATTTGCAATGTGTATCTGATTTACCAATTATCGATCGAGGATATATAGTACTAGCATGCCCCGCCGGGCTTCGCCCCGGAGAACATATGTGTAGTAAAACACGCAAATAGTCTCTCTTTCTCTCTCTCTCTCGCTCTAAAAAATTTCGTAACCGATTTCCAAAAAGATACCGATTCCCAAAAAGATCGGTAACGAAAAACTATACAGTTTATAGCACTCCCCGAGAAATTCTACCCCTACTTCATATATAATTTTTTGCGATTCGGTCAATTAATTCCCGAAAAATTTGAAAAATTTCTGATACCGGCTTTCAAAAAAATCGGTAACAAAAAATTATACATTTTATAGCACTCCCCGGAAAATTCTACCCCCGTTTCATATACAATTCTTTGAGATTCGGTCAATTATTTTCCGAAAATTAAAAAAAATTAGAAAAACCGGTTTCTAGAAAATTGGTAACAAAAAACTATACAACTATTAGTGAAATAAAAAAGATTCTTATTAATAATTGTTACCCGAAGAAAATTGTTGATAAATATGTCAATGTCCGACTTGGCGAATTGCGAAATCGTAACAACAATGATCGTGTCAGTAGCGAAGTGGCCCAAAATCCTCGAAGGTGCATTACTGTACCTTATATAAAGGGCCTTAGCGAGAATGTTAGCCGTACAATGCGAGACATGAACTTTAGAGTTCTTCACACCATCCCGAAGAGATTGGATTGTGTCATTAGGAAGGGTAAGGACGTGTTGCCGAATCTCAGTCAGACTGAGTTAGTTTATAAGATTGATTGTGCAAATTGTGATGCGGTATATATTGGCCAGACAAAAAGGCATTTAGAAACACACATCAAAAAACATCGATGTGATATTAGGAAAAATGTAGATAATCATTCTGTTGTGAGCAAACATCGTCTTACACACAATCATGATTTCAAGTGGCAACATCCGAAAATTTTATACAAAGAAAAACATTTCAAAAAAAGAGAAATATCGGAAATGTTTTTCGTTAAAAAACATGATTGCACAATCAATTTACAAAACGATACTGAGAGCCTGCCATCTATTTATAACCGGGTCATAGGTATTACTTAGTTGGCCCTGTAAATTCGGTTCTGCTCGTTTTTCCATCAGAGCGCCCTGTTTTATATACAACTAGCTTTTCGGCCCGCGCTTCGCGCGGGCCTCAAAGCTATCCCCCGCTAGCCAGCTTTTATTTGCATACATTAATTACCGGTAACATTAAAATCGGTAACGAAAAATTAACCACATCATGGCAATCCCCGGAAAATTCTTTCCTTATTTCATATACAATTCTTTCAGATTCGGTCCATTAATATTTTGCGAACAGACAGACAAACAGTCTGGTTTTACATTATTATATTAAAATGGTGGACTTCCACACCACCCTTGAGGTTCCACCTATTGGCGCGTTAGGTTTTTTATAGTAGACCTTCGCCTTAAGCCCTATTATACTACTTCTCATATTATATGATTCTTGCCTAGCAGAGTTATTACTGCTCACTACATAGAATGCATTTTGTCTGCAATTACTGCGCTAATCGCAGAATGCATTTCTGTCTTTCTCTATTTTATTCTTAATTTATGATAATATGCCGTTTTTTTCTCTCGAAATGATAAAGTAATCACTGCGCACTGCGCAGAATGCATTTTGTCTGTACTTACTGCG